TGAGCACTTTCTACTGCTTGAGTAGAAAGAGATTTAGCTATGGAGGAGGATAAAACCTGAGGCCCAGGCCCTGAATTCTTTCCTTCTTCGATTTCTTTTATAAAAGTGAAATATCACTCTCAAATACGTCTTTATTTTAATAATCTTTATTATTTTAGGCAAGTTGTAGACACTGTCTGAAACGTTGCGATCAAGTTGTCTTGCCGTCTATGTCTATATATATATATATATATATATATATATATATATATATATATATAGGCAAAAAGAGATAGATAGTAAGACGGGGCAATGTACGAACTATAACATCACCATGCAGCGCCGTAGTAGTGTAGTGTCTATCTAATTTTTTTTTTTCGATAGAATGCTGTTATCGGCGCTTCACTAAGAGTAGAGAATTCGTTTATGTTAGCCCCCCGCTACAACGGCAGCACGGAGAGTTCAATACATATCCCCTAACTATACGAACATAAACAGGAAGCTTCCTCACTATCCTGTATGCAGTGTACATATATATTCATATAAATAATAACATGAATACTTGCTAATAATACACCACAACCACAACTACTGATGCACGGCAAACATGTACAGGCCACAAGCAGCTCTGCACCGCATACATTCGCTCAGCAGAAACAAAAACAACCCATACAAACTGTACAGAGGGAGATACAACAGCATATACAACAATACATAAACACACCCTAGCAACAAATAAATAACAAGTTAACTAATAGAGGCGGGCGTAGGAGGAGAGTCAACCGCCGCGTTCATCCGCCAGCAGAGAAAAAATATGAAAAAATATATTCAAGAAATATAATATTGTTCAATAGCAACTTGGTGTGTACACCCACGTCTCCAGCTGCAGCGCTGGGCAGAGCCGCTGCAGCAGGCTTCGTTACACAGCATTAGCATGAGTGATGCTAATGGTGCTTCAAGCCAAAGGAATTCATGGGGGTAAATATAATTAATTTATGAAGAATTACTACGGGAACCTGGGGAGAGAAAGAGCGGCTGAATACCAGACGCTCTGTCACTATAACAGGCCCCCGACGTTCACTTCAATAGAAGCGGAAACAAACATGAACAAAGAGAAACACTTAAACAAAAGTTAATAAACAAATAATATAAAATAAATACAAAATATATCACAAGTCACACAGAGAAACAAATGGCTGTTTCTGTTCCTGCGCTGCCCGCTGCATACTCATAACAACGCAGAAACTCTGTGGTGCTCCCCCGCGTATTGTGCAAAATTTATCGATTTTTTCTTCTTAATTACAAAAGAAAATAAAAGTTCCACTCTTTAATATAGTAAATTCAACTTTAAATGAAAGATATTCCGCCGACATGTGGGGCGAAACCCTTCCCCTGTAGGCCATAGAAACACGGGGGCCAATACATGCAACAAACCCAGCCCCGTATACATGAAACAA